CTGTTGGAGGTAATAAAGCACCAATTGTGGAGGATTTGGTTGGTATTAGGCCACCTGATGATGCTTTTGCAGGGAGCAGTTTGAAGTTGAGTTGGTTGGACCAACACTTTACTCATGTTGCAATGCATAATCATAATGAACTTCAGCTTACTCGCTTTGCGAGAGCTTAATTTATAAGTGTGTCTTTCAGGTGGTTAGTGAGTCGGAGTTATAATAGAGGAAAGAGAGATCTTGCTTACTACAGATATAAGTTCGATCATCTGAAACGTGATGAGGTATTTTGTTAATAAACATTGATACAACATCTACAGGATGGGTTATTTAATATTCACAACTAATTTACTATTTTTCAAATTGTATGGCAACCGTATAGTATAGAGTTGATGAATTCTTTGCCTGCCATATGCATTGAAGGATTGAATATTTGGAGGTCAATTGTGCCACTTATATGTTTTCAAATTTATGAGTGGCACCAACCTGATCGTGTAATGCGGCAATTTCGCATGGTTCAACATATTCCTCGTGCTCCATACCAACCTGACCAGCTACATGATCTTACTTTAAGAGGGAAGACTAGTGAGAATTGGTCGGCTAAGTTCAGGGGCGTAGTGGAGCTATGGGACATGCGTCAGGCTTGGGTAATGACTAATGATCCTCAGTTTGGGTTGTTAAGTTCTAACTCTGAATATATGCGATGGTACATTGCTCACACCAGACGATGGATGACCAGAGATGTAGCTGTATTTGCATTACTTGTAAGTAATATGAAAAACAACAACAGACTATTTGGTTGTGATTTATATTTCTTTTTGGTTAAAGGTTTATATTGTGACATTGCAGGGAGATGCTCATGAAAGAGCATATTACTTATGTAATGATGGTAAAAACTCATTTTCATTTGAGGAGATGAATGAGCTATGTGAGACCATGCTCTCACTACAGAATGAGCAAGAGCGCATATTGGAGCCTGCTTCATCGTTTGACCCTCCCATTCAGAATGAAAATCCAGCTGATCCAGCCATTGACATTGGTCAACCAACAGATCGTAAGGAAGGAAAAAGTTTGTAACGTCGTCGAACAGAAGTGAAGGTAATACACAATAAAATTTATTTTAAACATATTACAATGTTGTAGTTATCTGGATTACATGTTCCTCATGGTACAATTTGCAGGCGACAGAGTGGTCACTTCCCCTTTTGCCAGAACGCAAGGACAACGTCTATTATGTCCCACCACAGTTTCCCTTCAATCCTTCACAGGCCACTTAGACATCTTATTTTCACACATCACAGGTCACTTCACACCCTCCTCCATCTCCATTTAGCGGTGGTCAATATTATGTCCCAGAGGGTAGCCTCTACATGACACCTCCTCCATATGAGCCATCTTTCTTTACACTTGATGCACCAGCTATAGGAGGTCATCAGAGTGGGCAGGGTTGGGAAACTTCATCATTCCAAGTAGGTTCAGACCATGACATTGATCTTAATGCAGATTTTATTGTTGCTGCTGATGCGGAGGTACAAGATGTGCGTCACAACCCTCATCTTGAAGCACGAGATCGTCGTTGACAGTGCATACTCACACCTCATGAGGCCGGGCATGCAGATCAATCCTTGGATTCAGATTGATGGATGTAAAAAAATGTATAAGTTCTAACTTGATGTTGCACCCTTTTTATTTGCATTACTGGAACATGTTATCTATATATAACATATATTGCTAATTCACCCTATATCGTACAAAGTTAGTTAAAACATTAACAAGGAAATACGCGTTACACCCTTATTGACATTAACAACAAAGTACAGTACAACACCATGATAAGCATTAACAACAAGGTACATCAATACACCATGATAAGCATTACCAACAAAGTACATGAAAACACCATTAGTACATTAACAACAACAATCTGTCTTGAAAAACAACATCTTATATCATCTACTGCTGATTACGATCATTATGCTGAGGACAATGACGTTGGTTATAACCATGTTGTCGACACAATCTACATCTTTGTCGTGGTTGTGACTCGGTCCAATCCATTTCATTCCTAATTCGGGTAGCCTTTGGTCTTCCTTTACCTCGTGCTCTTTCCATATCTGGTACTAACTTCCACTCATTATTATGTAAAATATTACTTTCATTTCCAAGAGGCCACCACTGAGATGAATATGCGTTCATAACATACTGTATAGTATAAACAGGATCCACATATTGCCAAAAATCTATGCTCATATGAGCACAAACAGCTATGAGATGTGAGCATGGATATCGGAATGCCTTAAATTTTTCGCATTGACAATAACGTGTAGACAATATGACTGTCCACTTATGACCACCCCTTTGTGTCACTGGATTAAATGCCTTCTCAACCTCAAACTTTGTTCTTTGTATGTCATACCGCCGAACTTGATGTGAAGATGCTTCTTGTTGATTTTTTTCCATAGCTTCCATTGATTTTTGACAGTATCTTCCTCCATTGTTAACCTCATGCATTGCGGTTTCACCACGCTTCACAAAATATTCTACTAATCGTGCATACGTAGCTTTGACCAAGGCAGTAATAGGAAGGTTTCTTGCCCCTTTCAAAATTTTATTTACGGACTCAGACAAATTTGTTGTCATGTGGCCATAACGACGTCCTTCATCATCATAAGCCAAGCTCCACTTTTCCTTGGATATATTATCTATCCAACTCTGAATTTTAGGTGATTGTGATCGAAACGTATTAAGCTTAGATTCAAAATATGTTTTGATGGTGTATATCCTGCATTTAACAGAAAAAATTTGAATGCATAGGTTAAATATATTCTTGATATATTAAAGGTTAAATGAATCAAATACGAAGAACACGTACCTAATTGAATTAGTTTTTTCTTCAACATGGTATTTTTGAATCGTCGATTGAAATTGCTTGCATGTGACGAATGCAATAAACATGATAAGCATTTGGAGGTTGCCAACCTAGATGTGGGTTAGAGACTGCACCTTTTATACTTTGATGTCGATCTAAGATCAAACATAGCCCTGCCTTATTTGTCACATGTATACGAATCATGGCTAAAAACCATTCCCATGCAGCTAAGGTTTCTCCTTCGACAATGGCAAACGCAATGGGAAGCACACAGTTGTTTCCATCTTGAGTCGTAGCAATTAGCAAAGTTTGTCGGTACTTACCGTACAAAAATGTTCCATCTACCTGTATTATAGGCTTACAAAAGTTGAAAGCTTCATGACATTGCTTCAACGACTAATACAACTGATGAAAAACTCGATATCTATTATCCACGGTGTGACCTTCAACATAATCAGTTGTTTCAATTTTGTATACAGATCTAGGAGCATGTAATTGCATGTACTCTAGCCACCTTGGCAATGCAGCATAAGATTCGTCTCAATCACCAAATACAGTAACAATTGCTTTTTGTTTTGCTTTCCATGCCTTCTTATATGAAATTGAATATCCAAATTGACCACTAATTCTCTCTTGAATTAACGAAATAGGTACTGATGGTTCTTCTTTTACCATACCTGCATGTCATATATTAAGAGCTCATTATTAAATTTGTTGGGATGTAATACGATGAAAAATAGTAAATTTTTCCTAATTCAAATTTCTCTAATTTAATATTAAATTTAACATACCAAGAATGCATGAGCAAATAAATTTGGAATCCAACTTTTGGTGGTCTTGAGAGATTGAACCATTTACGCATGTATGGGCACCACCCCACTTTATAATTTTCCACTTGTCTGCATTTTTTGGCAACGAAGCTCGAACTCTCCAGGGACATCCACTATTGTGATTGACACACTTCACAACATATGTTGTTGCCTTTGACTCCACCACAAAAAAAGTTTGATGCTTCCTCATGACATAATGTTTTATAGCCATTCTTACATCTTCTTTAGTATCAAATAGTCATCCAACATATAATGCATCTCCTTCCTTCCATGATTGCGCTTCATTCATTCCAAAAAAATCTAATTCTTCATGAGGGTGTTCCCAATTAATATGTTATCTGCCTTATTTCCAAACATAACAACAAAAATTAAATTACAACATTAATATTTAAAAGCCATTAAAAATATAAATTAAATATTATTATTCAAATTAAAATTTCTACATAACTATTAAAAATAAATTATATATTTATAATACTTGAAATCTAACCTGATTGCTCAATAGTTATTATTTCTTGTCCAGCTTCACACTGTTAATTTTGCCCAGCTGCTCACTGTTATTCCTGCCTAGCTCCACACTTTCTTCTCGCTACTTGCATTTTCTTTCGAGTTTTATCTTACTATATATACACATTCTAACTTGGACAAAGACGAAATTTTTACCCAAGTAGCATTAAAATCGCCTCTGTTGTGGACGACATTAAAATCGTCCAATATATAACGACACAAGCTTTGTCGGCTCAAACAGGGATGACACTGTCATTGGTCGCCACGTCAGACGTGTGTCATCCTTCTTTTGAACGACTTCACCTGTGTCGTCTAATAAGTGGACACTTTTTACTTTGAGTGTCACCCTTACGCTGGACGACTTCACTGTCACCTGCCACTCCAACCCCAGACAGGGAATTTCTTTGAATGCAGGCTTATTTTGGCAATTTCTTTTCAAATTAACCGTACAAGGGCAAAAAAAGCCTGACAACCCAACAGTAATTGCCAGAAAGTTTAAATAGAACTAATATGGGGACAGGACAGTATCAACAGTTTCCACGGGCAGAAAATGACTACATATCATCTTCAGAAACACAGATTAGATATTTGCATTAGACCAAAGTTTAGTCATTTATTGTCCTTCATTTATCTCCAACTCATCTTCATTCATTACTAGTAAATCAGACACATTTATGCTACACAGTGAATTCACAAAGTGTGAGGACCCAACAATAATTCTCGGGAAGTTTAAATAAATGAAAAATTGGAAGTTTTAAGACATGCAGTGGTAAAATTTTATCAAAAAACGTCATCTTACAGGACAAAAAACTTTGAAAGAAACAGTTGTATACAAAAAAAAGTATACAATAAATGATGCAAAACTACTTTCATGACACTCAAGATCTCTTTCAGGTTTGTATGTAACATCTCCCAAAACATCATATCGTATTAATTAGAAGAATGGATCTCATATGCCAAGTTTTGCATTGAAAGCATCATATATAATGTATCGCAGTCAACATCATAAACCAAATTTAAATAAATGGAAATCTCAAAGTTAGAAGACATGCAATGGTGAAATTTTATCAGAAAGGCCATTAATTTAGGCTAACAAAATATTACAGTAATTATTTTCACAAAAAAAAATATTACAATCAGATCATCAACTGTATTTTTGATTCGATTCTGTGCACCGGTGATGGCACGGCATAAATAGATGGGCACTCTAAATCCCGTCATCTGCTCTCAGCTACCTATTTGGCCAATAGAATTGGCAAGAGGGAGATCAAAAAGGAAACCAGAAACCTCGGTCCTGTATCATTAACTGTGTCGTTGCATTGTCTGACAAAGATCAATCGCCTTGTAGACAATAGAGCTGACGAATGTTTCCGGAAGCTGCCACAACAAATAACAAATCATTAGCATCGTTGCTTAACTTCTTGAAACAATCGAGCAGCCAGCTCTACACCAAACTCCTCCTTTTACAATACACAGCTCAAATTGCCTTCCGATAGAGACTAATTTAGGTTTGTCTTAAGCATTAACATTTATCTCTTCCCTCAAACTATCTCCCATCAGCAGCTAGCATTGAGAAAATATTCTGTATAAAATATCTGAAACCTTTTATCATATGTTATAAACATGAATGAATGTAAACTTAAAACTAGGGGAATGTAGATGGTGATTCTCGCTCAATCTTGACAACTGGTTGTGGGTGTCTCTTCATACAGGAAAATTAAAATCCATCAAAAGCCAGATTTTACTTAATAGATAATAAAACATTGACAATGAAGATTGCTCAATGATATGGCCATTTAAATATAAGATAATATACAAATTGGAAAACATAGTGTGTCACTTGATTATGACTTAAAAAAAAAGCTCATGACTTGTGAATCCCATGAGACAATTTCCCATCCAAAACACAGGAAGACAAACCAAAAGGCTAGTACCATATTCCATTGGTGTGTGGGTGTGTGGTCGGGGGTGGAAAATTCTTATGGTACCATGCTCACTGGGCAGTAACAATTGACTGTTGTGGAACCAAACCCAATATGGAATTCAACGGTCAGTATTGTCGGAGGTTTCACAATAAAAGGTACATAGATCTCCACAAAACAATTACACAGAAATAACAAGCTTGGTACAAAATAAGTCCAAGTTTCAACTTCAAGCTCAAAAAAAGAATTGCTTAAAGGGAAGACAGAATAATGACAGTTACCATATAACCAGTCTTTGAAATACACATGGAGTGCAGATGACAATTCTCGCTTACGACTTTCATCTAAAGGTGCTTCTCGTAGGAGTTGCCTTATCTCCCCTAAATTTTTTTGCTGTAGAGACAAAAAGACATAATTGACTTAAAATACAGCTTTTTAAGGTTTTATTACCAAAATATTTTGAAAATCCAATCATTATATTAATTAATTAATACTTTGCATACATTTTTTTGCTGAGATGCCACATAAGCATCTGGTAGTGTGAATGGGTTGTCTTTCGTTGACCCAGTAGACTCTCCTCCAAGCCAATTTGGTATCTGCATGACCACAATACGGGCAGAAAGAAAGAAAAATTTTTTAACTAAATGAAGAAGAAAGAAATATACACCTTGAACATTCTACATATCCAAAAATTTACAAAGCAAAACACACCAAGACACCAGCTAATAATGAACAACTCAAAATCCACTAAATGTGACTATATTTAAAATATAAATCTGCAATTTCCCATATATGTCGAGTTAAAGAACAACATTCATACCACAAAATTAGTGAATTGATCAGGGTCCACTCGAGTAGCAGACTCAGCTTGAACATCAGACACACCCGCTGGATGAGATAATGAATCATGGGGATCAACCATGCTCAATGCTAGAGGTTCATCCCACCGGTTAACTGTGGGTACAATTCCAACCTCATTCATATGCTCCTCCAATTGAGTGTAAAAAGTATTATATGGAGCCACCTGTTAATATTAAGAAGGAGAATGATTTCAAACCATGAATCCAACTGAGAAGAGTGAGGATTTTAAACAAAAATATACATTCCGTTTAAGAAGATAGAATCACTGGAAGAAGCATAAATGTGATCGAGAAAAATAGACCTTTGTAATATGCCACAGACCATATTTTTTCCTTATAAACCAAATACCACATTGTAGTGATCTAAATGACTAATAAAGTTATCCGATACTAGATTATGAAGACAAACTCAAATGCTCTTTTTTGCAAAGCACCAAATATTCTAATCCTAAAAGACTTTTAAGGGTTTATCCATTTCAAAGCAAAAAGCTTAATTAACGGAGTTAACCTTTTTTGTCCTTTCCTCTATTTTTACTAACCACACCTTATCAATAACATACATGTCATAGACTGTGTGTACCCTGAATTTTAAAATTTAATAATCAAAACACCATAACAATATATACCAATAAGTAATATAGATATAGTTGGATCAACACGGAAGCTCAGGCACATGCCAATATACCTACAAAATATGTCCATAAACAAGCTCAAAGTACACCTCCTTACAATCCATATATTTTTATCCATTCATGTGTCACAGTCATGTGATTTAATAGTACTAGTAATTTCAAGCAGTTATCTAATATTTGCAGGGATTTTATTAACTCTTTTTGGCATCTTAAAGAAAAAACTTTAGTAATAAATAAGGGCAAATGACTTCCCAATGTTTAAGATATCAGACCGTTAAAATCCCACCAACACTAACTCTGGAAACTATATAAGCAGTAATACAAAAACATTCAAAATGCTGTAAGTTATAATTTCTTGATAACCAAGAAGTGGTAGTATTAACCTATGATACATGGACTCCAACACAAAAAATGTGCAAAATATAGGATACCAGGACACCACACATATACATACACATGTGCTAAGGTAATGATAATTTTTTCTACAGTACAAATTAGAGAATTTCAAACGTTAAATTATGTGATATAATATCGATGATCATGGATGTTAAATGGTAGATAAATTGAACATTTCAAAATATATAATCTTATAGTTGACATTTACAAATATCTTGAAAAGTTTATTACACATTTACATAAAGTTTATTGATGAAGTATCGAATGATTTTTTAATTATATAGAATTTGGTAGACTATATATATGTATATATATAGACAGACTCAAATGAAATTAAATGAGCAACATAAGTACATAACATTTGATCTATATTAATAAACAAGATTTGCATATTCACTTTCTTCCTGTGATATTGAGTCACATAGATTAAACATTTTGTCTCTTTACCAAAAAAAACTAGATCATGAATTAAAACTTGCAAGAAAGATATGTTCACGTTCTCAAAATAACTTGCTAGTTTTCCAATTTCTTCTATTATAATGGCTTTACAGAATAATATTGAGGCATTATTTTTCATATTTTACACCAAATTAAATGCTAACTTTTCTAAATGTAAAATAATAATAATAATAATAATAATACTAGTGTCCTTAAAGTGTCTATCCAAATGGAAGTGCCAACTAAAACGTCCAAGTTGATTACAAGTGTCAGTTCATGTGTCTGAAAATAAAAAAATAAACTGAACACCAAGTGAGGAGTGTCTAACACATGTTGCATAGGTATCATGCCCACGAGTGTTTGTCCTTCATACATGTTTTGAGGTGTTAGATTTATGTTGTGCCAAGTCATATCAGATAAGCCCATAGGATATATCACAAATTAATCTGTTTGTATTTTCTGTAGAAACATCTCATATGAAGCCTATACGTAATTCCCAAATTTCATAGTTACATTCTCATGTAACAGACAACCTGGAAAGGCAGAGGACCAACTTCATAAATCATGCAACAGTGAATGAAGAAGCTCACCTGCAGTTTATGGTTATCACCAATAATAAGAGGTTGCTGGTTCACTCCCAAAAAGAAAACACATTCACGACAGTTAGCAATACAAATACGTTTTGTTGCTACAATTACATGAACCCGTTCACAGTGTTCCACTCTCACAGCCTGTCAAAGAAAAAGTATGCAGACATCAACTTCCTTCTGTCAAAATTAAGCACCAGCTATTCTAACACTAATGGTAACCAAAAGATCAGTAAAATGCCTCCCAGTTACCAAGTCTTACCCAACGTAGACAGCTTGCATATGCATATGATAAGCAACAATTTTTAGTATGATGAGTAAATAATTTGATTATATCTTTTTAAAAAAAAGTTCTTTGAAATGCAGGAAAGTGAATTTAAAAGGATGAACCATCCAAGAGTTAAAAAAGATATAAAAATAAAAAATAAACCAGAAACTAAAAACACATTGTTAAAAGGTGTTCAATGGATGACAATCAGTATAGGTAAAAATCATCAAAATGGAATGGTTTTAATGCAACAGACTAGTAACAAATTACTGTTACAGTACATGCATAAGTGCAGGGATGAATCCGTAATCATTATTTCTTGCACTTCTCATACACCTTGAAGGTCTGTTCACAAAGCATATATTCACATAAGCAATACCAACTGAAAAAATATTCCTTTTATTGTGACAAACCAACAGTTGCACAAGAAACTAATGCATTCATACATGTTTAGGACTTCAGGCAGCAACTATCATCCCCCACCAGGAAGAGAGTTGGAAGTCACTACTTTCGCACATTCAATATTTGGCATCTTGACATCTCTTCATTTCCCCCTTTTTTTCTCATTCTTAACCATTAATTTCACTCCTTCGAATAATTTCACAGAACAGAGTTTGTCACTTCATATAGGACTCACAAACATGAGTCCATGACAAGGCTAAGATTCTTCCTTTGAGAAAAATAGTAGGATCCATAAATGTATGAAAAAGATTATTTAAATGAGGAACCTTATATATTCTTCAAGTCCCAGCGTATATTTCCTCATATCATGAGCATCTTCTTGTTAACCAATCAGCAGTGCATGAATAAATGGAAAGAAAAATAATAATTTCCCAAATTGTGCAATACAATGGTAGCTACAGTCACCTTAACCTAGGCATATGGTGGTTACAATGTTGAGTATTCCTCAGGAATTGATGATATTTCAGGTTACATTAGTAAGGCAATATCTAATAGAAAGAGTTAGTTTCATCCTCCTTATCTATTAGAACTTTAATTCCTAAGGAAATCTCATTCATTTGAAGCCCATGGGACAGCTAAGATATCAGTATCATATTGTATGTCACCTTAACATTTAAAATGAAATAATTGTTTTCCACTTCTGATAGGAAAACAAACTCCATATTTGATTCTGATATATGATATGAATGGACTCATTATGCTCCTTTTCAAAGCAGGACATAAAGCTACTAGTTATTACCTTCCCAACTGCTCCTAGAACTATTGTTGCATCTGAACATCCATACACAGTGGCAAATCTCAAAGGTGCTAAGATGTAGATGGCAGACTCATGGCAATTTAGAACCTGCAATGATCAAACACATTTTAAAATCTATAAAATGCTGATTGAGAGCAGAAAAAATAATATTTAGTGCTTCAGCACTCAAACAAAACTTTAAATATTAGCTAGCATGACATCTCTTTTTAGGGAACTAATGGTTCAAAAAGCTTAAGCCATTAGTAGGAATGCTCAAAACCTAACTCGTCGTGAAAAACCAAACTCACCTAACACAAACTTATCTGTTGACATTAATTATTTTATCTCAATCTTTTTCAAGTATGCCTATGCATTGGCTATATAGGCATTCACCCTAATTTAAGCTCTGAAGGCCTTTCTCGAATAACATCCAGTAGAACAGATGATTGATAACAAAAAAATTCTCACTTTAAAGCTTTCAAGTTATATGACCTAATATCTGTTATAGATAATTAAGTTTAAAAGGATGTTGAAAAATTCATTTGATTCAAATTGTAACAATAAAACACCTTTTCATACACTATACAAGGTACAAGTCTTAATGCATACTAACAACTAGATCTGTGCAAGACAAGGCAGCAATGATGACCAACACTGCTTGATAATACATCAGGTATCCTGAAGAATGTTCAAATCATGAACCTAACGCTTTGCTTGGTTTGAGAGAGAAATTTGAGAGAGAATCAAAAGAAAGTGGTCAGAAAATAAGAGATTTTTAAGTTGTTTGGTATAAGAAAAATGTAAAAGGAAGTGAAGGGAAAGAAAAGTGATATTTTCACATGAAGACATTAATGCGCCTCATTAGAAAATTATAAACTAAAAATGAAAAATATAATTTTTAGATACAAGGATAAAAAGGAAAAAATATTGCTCTTCTCTCTTATTTTCCTGGATATAGTGGAAAGAAAAGATTTAATGTGGGTCCCACATTTTGTTTCTTCTCATATATTTCTTGATCATTCCAACAATGGAAAATACATTAAAAAAATGTGTTCTCTTTCGTGCCAATTCCTATCATAACAAACAAGTGTAAATCTGCATGTACAAGCACAAAACTTGTTCAGACATTTAGCAGACAAAAATCAAGCAGTTCCAAAGTTCAAACTTTTAGGCCAAAAATTGCTGGTGAATAATACCCTAAAGCAAACATTAGGCATTTTATTATGTCAAGTTGGAATATTAAGAGTAAAATAGCTACTCATTTAGACAAAGATGCCTATCAGGAATATGTTGGAAATAACAACTCTTAATGTACATAGGAAATAGTAGATTCATGTACAAAGGGACATGAACTCTTTAGCCAAGGAATTAGTCCCCACTCAATCATTTAAGAATCTATAACTATATATAAGGATTTTCTGCATAATATCCAACAAAATAAGAAAGCCTTTTCATTCAGATTTCCCCTCTAAAATACACTCTTCCCCATCAAATAACTGTCTTAAAAGTTAAATCACCCCTATAAATCCAACATATTACCACATTTATTAGCGGCCTTGTAAGAAAAAATAGTATTAAGGGTTAGAAGGCTACTTAGGATCAATAGCTTCAACAAAATACAAAAAGTTAAAATATAAAATGCAAACAGTGCTATACTTGAAAAAATGGACAAATATCAGGAAAGAAGATATGTAAGAAACAAACCTTAACAGAGGAACCTTTAATGTCAGGTGCATGCTTTACATAAGACGATTTAGAGATCCCTTCAACGAAACTTGCACCTCTACTACTAGCTGAGACCTTATTGACTGAGACAGTGCATGCATCAGTCATAGTAACATCCTGATCAGAGGCACTAGCTGGGCCATTTTCCTTTGAAGAAGTCCGTTCAGAAATATATTCCAAAGCAGCAGCTATATTCTGCAGAAGCCAATCATGAATTTGTGTAGCAGGAACTGGAACAGCAGGCATGTCAGGGTCTGAGTTTGCAAAAAAGGGAGAAGATTGACTCAAAGAATTTCCTTCAGATCCCTTATCACCAAACTGAATTAGAAAACCAAGATGCTCAAATCTATCCATGGTTAAAACCTATCAAATAAAAAATAGTATTAGGACTACATACGAAAAGGAAAACATAAAATTTGATTCAATAAAAAATAAATTGCTGCAATGAAACGTTTAATCAAAGACAATAAAAATTTTAAAAACTCCTTATACTTTCCTTCTTGTAAGAAACTACACGATCTTAGGCTACAAAGTCAATTTCACTTTGGAGGGAAAAAAATAAATAAATTGGAATCTACTACTACCTAAAACAATATATTATGCCCTAATGAAAATGTGGTACTATGTTTAACTATGTCGTACGCGATGCCTCAGTGAATAAGAGAAAGTAAATTTAACTGTAACTGTGGAATATCCTTCCATTACCATGATTATTAAATACTAATTACTAATGAGTAATGATAGCCAAGTATATGTATTGCTAAATGAATGAGAATGATGAATCAACTAATTAGAGTACAGAAGTGAGGGGAATAGGCAGCTGGCATTAGCATCAAGAGAAGTTGGCATCAACAACAAAGAATAGATGGCTAACATCCTAATCAAATTAAAATCAAAGTTGTCCCTCCCAATTCCAAACAAGGATGAAGAATTGGTCAACGATCACCTTGCCTGTTTTCATCCACCGCCTTAAGAAAAATCTTGCTTGTCCATATGATCAGTCCAGTCACATTACCTCTCTCTAGTGCATGACTTGTACATAAATTAACAGACTTGATTTTATTCATTATTAGCACAAATTGTCAGTCACCACATCCATAATCAAATGGACCATAGCTCACTGAGAAGATCACAACCTCAGCCTTATTCTTAAAGACAAACAGGTCAACGCTAAATTGTTTTTGAGTCTTAAAAATAACTATGAATTGCACACAAGATTTCCATCCAAACATAGCAGCACTTGCATGAGATTCTTATCATACATGAACACCCTCCCCCCGAATGTCTCAATCAAATCAATTCAAAATGAGACATACTATAGAATTATGTTTTCTGCTCTCCGCAAGGATATTGCAATGCTAACTATATGTCACAAAATCAGAATAAAAAGTTGCAATCATTCTGGAAAGAGACACTGAAGGGTACTTATCTTCTCCTAAATCTTAACAGCTGTCAGCTGATACATTCAATGTAGAAAAATGCTAGCAAAACGCTATCTAAGACACTCTTTCAAACAAACTCTTCCTTATTAGTAAAAATTTATTAGAAATCATAAAAATCATACGGGTCTCACACCTCATTTAATGATTCTCTCTCATACTTTTACATTTTTCAATAAATCTCGGCCAATAAATGATTGTGCTAGAGGGAGTGTGTTTCTAGCTCTTTGCAGGAGATAAAAAATTTGCTTACTAGTACATTGACAGGAGTAATATGACCAAGCAATAAATAGCATCATTTTGCAAGATCAATCTTTAGTCTTTACAGTTTGCAGAGGATGTCACCAAAACAGCATACGAATTACAAGAATGGATCCTAAACATTAAAAGTCTAAGCTCATGAAGACTCCAATCTACAGCAACTGCCACGTAACCGTTTCTGTTTTACACTTTTACCTATTTCAGTCGTAACAAATTTGGTTGGAACCTGATAGTTTTGATAATAATATAAAAGGCTGAGTAGTGGTATCGAGTTCTGACTAAGCATGTATATAAATGCTATCGTACCTTCATTATATATATGAAGGAAAATATGAGATTTTCTAGCTCTTCGTTCTTTGTTTTTCACATCATTCTTTTAGAAAAAGAATATATAATGCAGCTGTACGGCAATAGCCAAGTCACCAAGTATTTTACTGAGAATACAAGAAATAATATATTGCAGTCAAAATCAGAAACAACCCATAGGTAGCAAACAATAAATAAACAAACCAGAGATTCTTCCCCTTCCCCCTCTGCAGGCTCAGCTAGAAGGGACAGGATGTTAGCCAAGTGCTTTTGCAGATATGATAACTGATGTACCTCTTCATCAGCCTGCGATGGCATGAACCGCCTAGTGTTGCTGCGCACAAGCTGCATTACATTCAACACCAGAATCAACACCATTTAGTATCTAATCAATAGTATTACTGGAAAGTGGAAACAAAATTGTCAGCAGCTTAACACGGAAATCATATAGAATCATATCGAACACCTAAACCTAATCAGAAAGAAAAAGGAACAAAAGCTAGCTAAAAAAGCTAATCTGAGGGTTTGAATTTGAAAGTAACCACAAGAAATTAATCCAATATTACAGGAACTATGCAATGCATAAGTCCAGAACAACATATCTGAGCCTAACGGCGCGAATAACACATCGACTTGCGTGACAGAGAATGGAAGGAACCAAAGAAAATGGAGAGTTCACCTGAAGCGGCGACAGAGCGGATAAGTAGCCATCGAAGGCTGAAGTTGAAGGCCAGACATCGGCGACGGCGACGGAGTCCTTGTGCGTCCGCGGCAGGAGCCTCTTGTAGGATTGAATATAGAGGAACAAAACCAGATCATGGACATCGGCGCCGACGGCGTCGATTTCGTCGAGCTTGGCAGAGACGAGAGGTTCAGAATCGGAGTGCAGAACCGAGGCAAGGGTAGTGAGGACGAGTCTGGCGTGCTCAATGGAGATCTGCAACGACTCGGAGATGGCCTCGGAGTTGACTCGGTGGTTGGAGGATAATTCTAGTAGTTTCTGCTTCAACGGAATTAGGGTTTGCGTGGGGCCGGAGAAGATGAGGCGTGGGATTGGCAAGAGGCCGTGCTCGAAGGGCTCGCGTCTTGGGTGAATCACGGTGCTTGGGTCCCTCCCCAATGAAGAAGACGTGCATGGTTCCGTTGGTTCCGCCATGGCCAGAGAATCATACGAGACAGATCTTTGAATCAGGAAACAAGTTGAGGGGGAAGAGAGAGATGCGGGTGTGTTCGGGTGGGGGTAGCGTTTTCTTATTGGTTGCGATGAATAGTGACCATATAGTTAAGGCTTTTGACTCCCTAGATTGGATTTAAATGCATTTGTACTTTAAGGCACTACTTCTCTTGCCCTGCTGTGGCACCGAATCGTTACTGCTTGAGATGGATCATTTGGTCCAATCCAATATGGAATGGATGGGAAGTCCATTTTGTAGGCCTTTCAGAAAACAAAAAAAAAATAGTTGAACGAGTTATCTCTACAAAATTAAAAATTAAATTTTTTTTTTAAATTGGGTTTAATTGATTTTAAAATCGAATTAAAAATTAACTCTTATATTTTTTATTATTATTACTTTTATACCTTTCGAGACGATTGGTTAAAATTACTAGTCATAATTTTTTTCAAATTTATCAAATAAAAGTATATAAAATTTAACTGTTTTCATCCATTAAAAATTTATCTTAACATTAACATAATAATTACTTTTATTATCATCGTGATCGTCTAAATAAATGGAATTATTTATAAATTATTCAACATTATCTCATTAAATATTCAATAAACTTGTTTATTTAATTAAATTAAATTAGATTAGATTTAATATTTAAATAAGTTAAAATTTAAATTTTATAAACTTGACATGAATAGCTCTTGAGTAATTCTAACTATATCTCACACTCAAAAAACCACACTATGCATACTTAATTATTGCAGCTCTATTTGAAGATTCTATTGTAGTAATGTATTTCAAATTACTTAGATAATTGTATTTTATTTATTAAAATTATTAAAATTTATATATATGTTTTATCATATCATCATAGTGTCTGTATTATTTATTTATTTTAAATTTTTAAAAAAAATATTTTAAGTAAGTGCGCATATATATTATTTTTTAATTTTTTGTAGTAAAAAATTTTATTTTTAACATTAAGCTATTTTCTAAAATTAACATATCTAAATCTCTAATAATAACATGATTAATTAAGATATTGTCGCTTTTTTATTACGTCGTATAGGCCCTTTCACGACCGATAAATAAACTGCTCCATGGTCTACTATAGACAAATAAAGCACAGTCAGTATTTAAATAGGTTAAATCAAAGTTATAAACTGTAAATTATAGATTTCTTAATAATATTATTTTATTCGCACAAAAAAAGTTATATACTGCAAGCTGGATCATGAATATTTCAATGTCCGCATGCAGATCATGAATAATAATAATAATAATAAACGCAATATACATATTTAAATCTTATTAGTTTATTAAAACAAACTTTTAAAATGTGCAGATACTTTACACTTAAATTTTTATTAAAGTCATATATATTATGAATATCGGTCAAAATCGCGAGATCGTTAATTTTTGGCACAATAATAGCAACTTTTGTACACGTGACTTGTATTTTGATGAGGATGACAATTACGATGAAAGATATATAATAAATGTGTATTTGATTTAATTTATTTTTTAAAACTTTGAAATAATTTATAAAAAATAATTAATTACTTGTTATAGCCTGAGTCATTCTTAAACAAGCACAAAGTATAGTTAGTAAATAATAACTTGGGATAATTTGTAACTTTGAAATATACACAATTAGATGAGTTTTATATATGATCTATTTTCTTTCCTGTTTGTTTAATTTGTATATTTATTTCACATTTGCATGAATGAAAAAAGGAATTAACAATGGGCAGGGAAATAATGGAGTCGGTGTTAGCTTAGTTTGGAAGTTTCCAACCATTGGTCGCCATCGATAAAAGTTATGTTGAGGAATGCCAAAGCTTGTGTATCATTTAATCTTTGTACATAAGATGCCCTCATGCTTGTATCAGCCCCAGGCCCCGAGCATTTGTATTCTCCATAGAAAACAGTCCTGCATGCATTGTATATTATTACTCTTCTTGTTTAATCATATAACTCAAAATAACATTTGTAGTATTACTTTTTTTTATATAATTTCGAAATTATACTTTTATTTCTTAAGAGATGAATGGATATATATGCATTGTACTTAATCTAATATGATATAAATAATTCTTTACTGGTAAAATTAACAATTATGAATGAGTGATCTAAGCTTCATTACGAATTTTAGAGTCACAGAAAGCAATTTTGAGGGGGGTGGGAAAAGATAAATTTTATTATTTATTATTAAATTATTATAGAACTTGAGAAGATGAAAGATAAAATTTAAAACGTTATTACATTATCGACTTTATAATTTTATTTTATCTGCTTTTATTTCATCTTTATAGGCTACAGAGTTTGAGGTTGAAAACTAGTCAATGATAATGCAGATTAGATTCAATATTTTTAATTAAGAGAAAAATATCTCTAATAAAATTAATTAAATTGCAACAAATATTGTTTCATATAAGAGAAAAACGTAATTTTTATTTTTATTTTTGTTAAAAGGATAGCATATATTAAGCTTCATGGTATAATTAGTAAACTATTTTTTCTTAAAAATTAAATAATTTAGATTCTTCTAACAGAAAAGAGTGAATAATCAATATTTTTAAATTAATAATTTTCTAATGATAAAGACTTTGGCATCTAAAAGATGTTCAAATAATAGAAAATCAATAATTTTAACACATGTGTACTACTCATAAGTCATAATTCATAATCCATTTAAAGGTATGCATAAACAATTTAATTAAGTATTTATTTAAGAAGTATTATTACATAAGAGATTATAATATGGATCTGATCATAAAAATTATTAAAATAAAAATTTAAAATTATTTTGATAAATTATATCGTGAAAGTCATTAAAATGAGTTTAAAATGTTATAAATTATTTTTTTATTCATTCTTTAAAAAGTAACCTAAATTAACAGAGACACGGCAAAACCTATAAAATCTTACCCATGCGAATTATTAGTATCAAAACAGATTTCAGTGTTTCGATTTTATTTTGAACTTTTTTTCATCAAAGATTAATTTTTGTATGCTGTTTTTTTTTTTTTAAGGTAGTGTTTAAAGTTGGTACATCACAAACACTTCTAATAAAAAACTAACAAAGGTGAGAAATCGGCTTGAGATGTGCCGAACCTCCCATCTGTATGTTTTTGTGTTCGACAATTCTACCACAGATAATATTAGCGGATAGATGCATGATCACGTTACCTCTGGTTCCTTAAAAAAAACAAGTGATAAGAAGTTGATTTTGAGGAAAAATTTCTTTTCAATGTGATATTAAAAATATATGAGAAGTTTGTTTTACCATAATCAAACTTCTCACCTACATAGAGATAGGGTGAATTTATTTTAAGTGACTGTTGACATGTTTTAAATAAAAAGGCAAAACAACTCACGCAAATCTTCTATTTTCTCAGCTATGTTACTTGAAAAAAAAAAAATAAGTTGAGTTTGTTTGTTTGATTAATGTGAAAATTTTACACAGCATATTTCAGCAATCGAGAAAGAAAATAAAGCATTTATATTTTAAAAGAAGTTGATGCCTACAAAAAAGCGTGAGGATAAGGCACAAGTTTGAATCTACATAAGTTGGATTTTGAATGGAGAGATTGTACACTTACTGATCTCTTGAAGGGTCGTTGAAATCATTCCAACCTTCAGGGGCAATGATATCTGACATAATTGTGAAGGCAAAAACAACACGGGAATAAGGTCTCCATGCTCGACCCAACCATATTCTCCCGTTTCCTCCTATTGTACTGTTCACAAATGTGAATCCTGTGTTTTCATCCGTTGAAGCTCTACCATGAGCTGTAACAGCGCCATTTATGCTCTTTTGTCCCGCTGGTACGGGATTCGCTATGGAAACTAGTTGACAATTCTGTACATACCAAGCGTACCGTGATTCCCATTTTAGCTATAATTTTATGAGTATGCTTAAAACATTGGTAAAACAGCAATATCACTTTTACATCTCTTACAATTCATTGACAAATCTTAGTTTTAATTTTATTCTTAACTTTATAATGTTGATTTTTATTGCTTTAGTTATTAAGATAAATCTTTAATTTTAATTAAAAATACTTATCATACTGTATATATATTTTTCAATAATTAGCTCCCTTTTGACATATACCATGTTGTTTGTATCTTGTATTAACATAATACAAAAATAAAAAAGAAATAAACTTCAACATTTCAACTTGAGAAAAGTAATTAAAATTTCTTCTTTCTCTTATGCATGTGACATGTATACGTAGGTAATAAGAACATTAGTTGAGATATTCCAAGATGGATAGGGTACCTCATAGAGTGACCTTGCATTGCCGAATATGAAGTCAATGGAGCCTTGGATATAGCAGTCTTTGAAGTAATGGCGACCCTTATCATCATGAAGGGTGTCTTGGGCTCCAAAGAATCCACAACCCCTAAATTCGCTTTGATCTCCCGAAATTCTAATGGCTACTGCTTGTGCACCAACAGCCCCAGGACTTGGAATTGGTGCTAAATTCTATTCCAAGTACAAAGTTGTTAGCGTTATTGTGTCAATGTCATATAACCTTTTATTTCAATTTTCTTTCATCTAGACATACAAATAAAGTTTATTCACCATGAAGCTTATATTCTTAGCAATGAAGTTGGAGGCGAAAACTTGTACAGAGCCACTAGAAAATGTGCCATTTGCGGACAATGCAGTATCATTCCATGCAATTGCAGTTGAAGTATAACCTTGTCCTTGAAATGTAATGTTGGGTTTGGTTTTGGGAACCATAACTTTCTCACTGTCCAAAATAAATGGCATGATATGATTGATAGCCAAATATTATTATCTTGGTTCTATTATTTGAACTGCTAAAGTTTGGCACTGCATGGGATGTCATTTACAATTATCTTTATCTTTCACATGCTTTTATCTTTTTTTTATTACATGCATCTCAAAAATACATCTTATGACACACAAGAACACCTAAAGATGTCTCAATATGACCAAAAATCATTGTTTTTAATTTTTAACTAGAAAAGCTATTTTTTCAAGAAAAAAATTTGTTTTCAAACATGTCTCAAGTCCAAAAAACAAAATGGAGAAAGCTTAAAAGGAGTCATGATAAATGATGAAGACCACTTACTAGTAGATGCCACTATTTATCCATATTATGGTTCTTTTTAAGCTAAAATCAGGAATTGCATTCACAGCTGCTTGTACTGTGGTGAAATTACAGCACCCTTTTCGATCAACACAAAGATAAAAAGTGGTATTGGTATCAGGAGGTGGAATGCCTGGTGGGAAATCATCACAAATAGAATCAGCATTCCCACTATCAGGGTGTTTCTTGTGTGGTCGATGATGATGGATGCTGTGGAGGTTGCAAGTTAAAGGTGCTAAGTTCAAAGATGATGGTGACAAGGTTGTGAGAGTTAAATAAGTGAAGTTGTTGAGAAAATGTGGAATTGGGTTTATGAGATACAATGATGCAAAAATTGCAGCAAGGGGAACCAAAAGAGATAGCAAGTTGCTTTGGAGACTCATTTGCTGATTTTAGATTTAGGCTTAGCATAGAAAGTGAATAATGGGGATGAGGCTAAAAAATGGGAAATTAGTATGTGTATATATAAACATGTCAAAGATGCACTTGAAGGGAAAGGTATAATGGCATGTCTTGCAAAATACCCTGTCCTTATTCATTCTTGGGGAAATTTCCAACCTTCACCAAACTTTCAAGTTGGCTAGCGAATTGATAGTGCTTTTTCAAGCAAACGTGCATCATTCTTCGACCATCATTGAAGGCAGAGATAAACGAGCTTCTCTTAATTGTATAATGATGTTGAAGTCAATGTTTTTACTAATTTGATAATGAATAACATAAAATAACATAAAAAAAAAACAAAGAAAGAAGAATTATGCTGTTTGTAAACGAAGTTTCATCAGCATGAGAGGGACTTGTTTGCACCGACAATGGCAATCATGGTGGGTAGATAGTTAGGTCTTCTAAAAATATTGACAGAAATTTTATTATTGGCTTTGTATAGAAGAGCTTTGTTTAAAGAAATTGTAATCAAAATAGATTAATCTCCAATGATCCACTAGGGATATCCTTCATGTATCCTAAAAAAAGGGACTTGTTTATTTTACATTCCAAAACAGTTTTTTTTTTTACATTACACACCTTTTAATATAAAATTTAAGTCTGAGATTACTTTCAGTACACTTTTCAATTAGGTTTTTATTTTGAACTTTAATAAAATTGATTTTGATAAAATTAACTTTTAAAAAAATAATTTTAGCATAATATAACATTAACACAATTGGACTTCACTATTCACTGTGTGTTGTGGTTAAAATGATAAAAGCTATCTCACTTTTGTATACTATTTTCTCTATTTGTGAAACGGAATTAATAGAATTGACAATTAGATATGGATTTAGCATTACGATTCTCGGTGGATGCTAACAAATTTTTCTTCCCTTCCTCTACAATCGATTTTGAACATAGAACAAACAGAGCTTAAGGTGACTCTGCTGTCAATGAGAGATAATTCAGTTTTAAGAACACTACCTCCTGTTTACACAACTGTTTAAAGAATTTTACTTATTTTAAAATTAAATAACAATAAAAAGTTTCCTTTGCTGAAAATTTTCTCCGATCTAGTGTTTTCACCATGAAATGAAATTTAAAAAGTGTTTCAACATTTAATCAATTATTGACTTTAAATTTATTAATATTAAATGTATATTTTACGAAAGTTACACAACTGTTTAAAATAAGTGATATAATTCATCGTCGGTTGAAAAATTAGAAAAGAAGTATATAATATAATACTAATTAAGCAATATTTTATTTTAAAACGCTCGCTAAATCTTTATAAAAAAATGATCTTTCACTATTAATTTTAACATAGATAAAATTGAAGTGTATCACTAATAAAATATACAAAATTAAGTTAAATAAATATTTGAATTTTAAGTTTAAATTTGCAAGAATTTGGGCTCTCCTTATGCTATTACTATGCACATAAACAAAAGTTAAAAATTATTCATAAAATAAAAAAAATATAAAATATTCAAACATTATCTTTTGGGACATTTAAAGATAAATTTTTAATTAATTAAAATTATTAAATGGATGTTGTATTAATATATTTTTCAATTTTAAAAAAGTAAAAATAATTATAACAAGTTATTAAAAATATTTAAAATAAATTTTTTTAAAAATATATTAATAAAATAAAAAAAATTCATAGAAGGTGCCATGTTTGATTTATATAGCCAATATAGAAATGCATTGCCCTACCAATTATGCCAGCATCATCAATATGAACAATGGTCCCAAAAAAAAGTGACCCTGAAATTCCAATTTTCTCCTTATCCAACCCACCCTGCACTTTGAGAATTCAACGATCCAGATGGACTTGACTCAGCCGAGTCAGGGTTTTGAAAATTTTCCATTTCTTTTTCAAAATTAAAGAAAAAAGTAAACTTATTATGAAAGAGAAACAATACCAACCCACTAAGAAATAATAGTGTGTTTAATTCATTCAGAAGCGGATTTATTTTAACATTACAAATTACAGTTTTTTTAAACGTGATTTAACGTAGTTTTATTAATTTTTAAAACATGTATTATATTTAGTTACTTTTGTTAGCATTCTTGTGTTTACGAGAGATAAACATAAATATTGAAAATTAGGAACTTTTTTTTTCTTTTTGATTTATTATTAATAAAAATAATTTTAAATTATATACCATTTTTGGACATATATATATATATATATATCTAAGTTAATCTAAATCATATTTTTTATTAAAATATATTTTTTATATTAAAAAGTATAAAAAGTAAATTTTCAATTATTTCAAACTCTTAATTTAAAAATTAATTCTTATATATTGTAGGAGATTATACATCTATAATAAAATTTTATCTTATTAAATAAAGCCAATTACACGAACTATTTAATATTACTGAATTTAGTTAAAAATTAAAAAATTTTAAAATAATGTTATCATACAATATATTTTAAATAATTTTTAAAAAATATTTTAAATTTTTTACCGCGCTAAAATTAAAATATATAATATAAATTAAGTTTTAACACATATTAATTATGTTTAACAACTCAAAATGAATTTTATTTTGATTTAACTTCAAATGAAAGCACCGATGGTGTGTTTATCCAATCCAGCAGGCGCAGGACAAGCAATCAGAAAACACAGGCTTGAGTGTGGCACACGTGTGAGTGCCGACCGAAGTGTTTCACACGCGTGAGGCGGGTCCACCACCATTCCTCCACCAGCCAACACTGTGCAAAAAAAGCAAAGGAGGGAGCTTCTCTGTATATTTTGCATAGATTCATAAGATCCTATCATACTAGCCCCACACCAACACTAACACCAAAGAAAAGCAAAGCAGAGACAGCACCCATACCCTTCCTTCTATACCCTCTCCCCCTTTTCATGTGTTAGTTTACTCTTACCCCTTACCTCTTCCATCTTAACCTCTCTCACAAACCCCATCTCCATTGCTTCAGAAAAACAGAAAAATTCCCATTTCAGGAAAAAAACAAAAAATCCTCCAAGGTAATTTCTCAGCATTTTAGTTCTTCAACAGAAAAACCCCTCCTTTTTTTTTCTCTTTCTTCTTCTCCTTCATGATTTGGGTTGTACTGTGAACTCTAAAAATAAGGTTCTTTTGCTGATTTACTACACCCGTTGATACAAAATTATATATATATATATATATATATATATATATATATATATATATGTATATATATATATATAATTAAAATAATTCTGGGGAAATCAGACGAATAAAAACTTGCTTATTGTGACCAGGGTGTGTTTTTTTTTCTTAAAACAATCTGTGGGTGGGTTGGGTAATGGGTTGTATAAAAGGTGCTAAGCAAGGGAAGTACAAGTAAACTGAGGGTGATGTTAGTGTCCGGAAAATAAGTGAGCACTACTAGTTAAAAGGTCGTGGAATGCTGAAAGTGTGAAACTTGGAAGTCGTACGCTTTCATTTCATGCTGCATTCTGTCTCAACCACCCTTAAACATTCTAGGTTCAGATTGTTTTTCTTCTGTACCTTTTTTTTAATGTAGTTATACTTTCTTTTTTTGTCTTGTGATTTTGTGCTTTTACAGAACGCAATCGGATCTAAGCTTTCAAGCTTCCAACTGTGTGTTATCATAGATCTATGCTTGCATCCCTGTTTATTTATGCATTAATTATCACTTGTGAGTTTCCTTATCTTCTGTGGTCGTGTGTTTTTGAAGTTTTAAAGTTGTCCAAACATTTAGTTAACTCGATTTGCTATCCTGTAACGGCTATTTGACTGTGTTTTCCTGTTTTTTAAGGCTCCCTGGAACCACTGTGTTTAATTCTTTTACAGCACAACTGTTCTTCAGAGTGAAGCGTTGAATAGTTGAAATAGTTGGTTCACCAGCTACCATTATTTGGAGGATCTTTTGATTCTTTGAAGCCAGAAGATGCAGAGGCCTCCACCAGATGATTTCCTGCTGAAGGAGACCAATCCCCACCTTGGAGGGGGAAAGGTCTCTGGTGATAAGCTTACTAGCACTTATGATCTTGTTGAGCAAATGCAGTACCTTTATGTTAGGGTTGTGAAGGCTAAGGACTTACCTGGAAAGGATGTCACTGGAAGTTGTGACCCGTATTGTGAAGTCAAGCTGGGAAACTACAAAGGAACCACTAGGCATTTTGAGAAAAAGACTAATCCCGAATGGAACCAGGTTTTTGCTTTCTCAAAAGACCGGATTCAGGCTTCCACCCTAGAGGTTACTGTGAAGGATAAGGATGTTGTGAAGGATGACTTCATTGGTCGTGTCTGGTTTGACCTCAATGAGATTCCTAAGCGGGTTCCCCCGGATAGTCCTCTGGCACCGCAGTGGTATAGACTGGAGGACAGAAAGGGTGATAAGGCCAAGGGGGAGCTAATGCTGGCTGTTTGGATGGGAACACAAGCTGATGAAGCATTTCCTGAAGCATGGCACTCGGATGCTGCAACTGTTAGTGGGACTGATGCTCTTGCAAACTTCCGATCAAAGGTGTATCTCTCTCCTAAGCTTTGGTATTTGAGGGTTAATGTGATAGAGGCACAAGACTTGCAGCCAACTGACAAGGCTAGATACCCTGAAGTTTTTGTGAAGGCTACCCTGGGAAATCAAACCTTGAGGACTAGAATCTCGCAAAGCAGGAGTATCAATCCAATGTGGAATGAGGATTTGATGTTTGTGGCGGCTGAACCATTTGAGGAGCCCCTTATTTTGAGTGTGGAAGACAGAATTGGCCCTAACAAAGAGGAACTATTGGGGAGGTGTGCAATTCCTTTACAGATGGTGGACAGGAGACTAGATCACAAACCTGTGAATTCCAAGTGGTATAATCTTGAAAAACATGTAGTTATTGTAGAAGGGGAAAAGAAGAAGGAAATCAAGTTTGCAAGCAGGATGCATATGAGGATCTGTCTAGAAGGTGGTTATCACGTTTTGGATGAATCGACCCATTACAGCAGTGATCTCCGTCCCACAGCAAAGCAGCTGTGGAAGTCCAGTATTGGAGTTCTTGAATTGGGGATATTGAATGCTCAGGGTTTGATGCCAATGAAAACAAAAGATGGTAAAGGGACAACGGATGCTTATTGTGTAGCAAAATACGGGCAAAAATGGGTGCGGACAAGAACAATCATTGATAGCTTTGCACCCAGGTGGAATGAACAATATACTTGGGAGGTTTTTGATCCTTGCACTGTCATTACGATTGGTGTATTTGATAACTGTCACTTGCATGGTGGTGATAAGGCTGGAGGGGCAAAAGATTCCAAAATTGGGAAGGTACGAATTCGTCTTTCCACTCTTGAGACCGATCGAGTCTATACACATTCCTATCCACTTCTAGTTCTTCATCCAAATGGGGTGAAGAAAATGGGTGAAATTCACTTGGCTGTAAGGTTTACATGTTCTTCCTTGCTCAATATGATGCACATGTATTCACTACCCTTGTTGCCGAAGATGCATTATATTCACCCATTAACTGTCATTCAGCTTGACAGCTTGAGGCATCAAGCAACTCAGATTGTTTCCATGAGACTGAGTCGTGCCGAGCCACCATTGAGAAAGGAGATAGTGGAATACATGCTGGATGTGGGTTCCCACATGTGGAGTATGAGAAGAAGCAAGGCCAACTTTTTCAGGATCATGGGAGTTTTGGGTGGATTAATTGCTGTAGGAAAATGGTTTGACCAGATTTGCAATTGGAAAAATCCCATCACAACAGTTCTGATCCACATCCTGTTCATAATATTGGTCATGTACCCTGAGCTCATCTTACCCACAATATTCCTGTACCTCTTCTTGATTGGAGTTTGGTACTATAGATGGAGGCCAAGGCACCCTCCTCACATGGACACGCGACTCTCTCACGCGGATTCTGCACATCCTGATGAACTAGATGAAGAGTTTGACACATTTCCAACCACCAGACCGTCGGACATGGTGAGGATGAGATACGATCGACTTAGAAGTATTGCCGGGAGGATACAAACGGTGGTTGGTGATTTGGCGACTCAAGGGGAAAGACTGCAGTCTTTGCTGAGCTGGAGAGATCCCAGAGCAACAGCCCTCTTTGTGATTTTCTGTCTGGTTGCTGCCATTGTGCTCTATGTCACTCCATTCCAAGTGGTGGCTCTTTTGAGTGGAATCTATATACTGAGACACCCCAGGTTCCGCCACAAGCTTCCTTCAGTGCCACTCAATTTCTTCAGGAGGCTACCTGCAAGAACTGATTGCATGCTTTGAGCCAAATGGACCTTGCTTTTTACTTTCATTTCAGCATCAGATTTTGTGGATTTGTATTTCATCATGTCATAGAATTTTCTGTTTTGAACTTCATGCTAGTCCCTTGTTAAATTTGTAATTTTGTAGGCTGAGTTTAAATTAACTATGTTAGTTAGATGTAGTAAATTTTCTCAATGCAAGTTTGAAATTATCACCTCAAATGGTGATTGAGGTGTGGTGATTTCTGTTTTTAATGTTTCTTTTTCTCCTCCCCTAAGGTTTTTAAAAAGTTGCTGATTGATGAACAAACCTTTTATGTTTTGGTGCATGAACCGAACTACTAGTAGTTACATTTGTTTATTGATAGATATACCTTGCTTGTTCTGCGGTTTTCTCTGCGTTTTTTATTGGCTATAATTTGGTCATGAGAATAATGTTGCAATTCTGTAATGAAGTTAAATAGACAGAAGAATACATGTGGATGAGGGTATCGTTTTCTCTGGACCGCGCGTGACATTAAAATAAAGAAACTGCATCTGCATTGTCCATTTTGTTATGTTGCCTAATTAATTATATGCTGTATTTAATTTGCATTGACAATAATTCGAGCTCTGGAACAGACAGAAATGCTTCCGCTATAATTGGGTTTTGTCTTTCTCCTTTCTGCAAAATGTTTGCATTCATTGCATTAACAGTATCACAATTTAGAGTTCAGAATTACTGAGTATCTGTTTTTAAATTTATTTTACATAAATATTTAAACATTATTAACAGGATCAAGCTTTATATGTACTGCTTTATTCATTTATTCCAATATTTTGATAAATAAGAGATATATGAATTTTCAATTTAATGTAAACTTTTTTTTTGTTCAAGTTATTTATCTTGTATGAAGAATATAAGTTTAGTCTTTATACTTGATATTATTTTTATTTCATTTTTTCATAAAAGAAATATATTTTATTCTTGTATGAATTTTTTTTACAAATTAACCCTCTCAGTTTGCAATTTTTTATTGCCAAAGTAGTGTTGAAGTTGTTTATACAAGGATAAAAAAAATAGAGATATTTTCATGTAAGGATTAAAATAAAGTGTGAACTTGTTTCATATGGAAATTAAAATAGAAAAAAATATTAAATATAGAGATTGAATCTAACACTTCTGCATAATTTTTTTGTAAGTAGAAACTAAAATGTAATTTTATTTCTTATAAAAGCATAAACAAAAAATAATAATAAGTGTTGGGCTAATTTTTTTAATTTAAGCTCAATATTGTAAAAGATACAATATGAGAAAAGTACCTAAAAAGTGACTACCAGTCGAGTTTTGCCTATAAGATATATAAAAATATGAATCTTTGAATGATTCAAGAAAATTATAAATTTAGGATAAAAGTCTCCGCCGCCAATGGAACACATTTTTGTTTACATCACCGTTATTATTTTAAGTGAGCAAAAAGTTATAGTAATTACTTTAAAAATAATTATTGAGATTATCATAAATCTATGCACGTATAAAACTTTTTAAAATTATTATCTTGTTTTTTTTATAGAAGCTCTATTTTCCCCTAAGCGAATCTCTTGGTAAAAGAATAGTTCAATTTATTGATCACAGTTATTAATATTTGATTTCTTTATATTTTATTATTTTAATGCTGGAGTAATAGTACGTTTTTCTAATTTTTTTTATTAATAAACATGTCATTAACCGAATTCATGCACACGAGAAGGTAAATTCGTTTTTTTATTTTTTCTTCTCTTCCGTTTAGTCGAGTTAATTAGCTTTAGGAGTACTCATAAACAGTCTGCTCCAATGCAAATTAGCAAAACTGAATCCAAAAGGAAATCAATTTTTTTTATTGAATTAGATTAAATTTTAAACTCGGATTTAAATATTATTAAATTCAATTCAAAATAAACATATATACATATATAATCTTATTTATGAGGGTATTAGATATTACTATCAATTTTAACCATTATCTTATTCTATAAGCTACGTCCAATTGTTCAATTATTTTGATATTTTTAGCTCTTGTTATTTTTAATTATTGGGTGAATAACATGTCTCTTTCGTAAAAGATGGACTGGAGGGATTATAAAACGGAATTGTATATCTATAACAAAGTTACAAATTGTTGGGAATTATTATTTGCACTACTTTTTTTTTATTATTCATACCTTTTTTTGTCACTTCTGATTTGAAAGTATAAAATTATTTTAGAAAATAAATTTTAAAATTAATTTGTAAATAATCTTTAAATTTTAATTTTCAAAATATATTAAATATGCTTCTAATAATTAGATAAAAAAAAGGATGGTACAACTTACAAAAATGACTGGTACAAAAAAAAGCTAATAATTTTTTTTAAAATGTGATTTTAAATTATTTTTAATTTAAGTATGGAAAAAATGTTATTGATAAGACAGTTCGTGATTTTAAATAATTTAAAATTGTTTTTCATTGAACTTAGAGTAAAATTATAAGAACTAAATAAATAATTTAACAAATCATTTATGCAAAGAGTTCACCCCACTTCCACGTGCAATAGATTTTGGTTTTGGTTGTGACGTGGCAAAGATTTAAGAAACGTGATTGGATTAGAAGCCCATATATAACGGAGACTGTCTTGTAATCCACGGCAATCTTTGACTGCTACAACCCAGTTTTAGGGCAATAAAAAAAGAGGGGTTGTTACCGTTCTTTGGGTTGAAAATGAAAGTAGTAATTAAGAATAAAATTTAAATATTGTATTACAGGTTTTTCCATCAAAACGTGCATTTTACTTCAGTAATTAAAATATATAATGATTATCGAGATAAATGCTGATATTTTTTTTAAAAAAATATCATTATCAGTTATAGTAATATATATTTTTGTTCAAACATAATTAATTATGCTTGTTATTAAATGAAAACAAGTAAAATTAATAGTTACTTTAATATGTTTACAGAATGAATATATTTTGTTTAATACCTCCGCCATTCTATTTTTTTTGTTGTTGTTTCTTATTCTTATTTATATTTCAAACTTTTTATTATTAGAAAATATAACATTAATTTGATTTTTCTAATTATATACTTATTTAATATTACGATTACATATATATAATATTTGGTATAACTATACCTTTTCATCCATTGCTTCTTTTTAATATCAAATAGTGAGTCTGTGAAAAATTAATGAAAATAATTAAATAAGATAGATGAATTTTAAATAAAAGCATTTTAAGTAAAGTATAATAAAAATATGTTAGTTAAAAAAAATATTTTTTCTTCTTTTTATCGTTAACCTTCTAAAAAACCAATTACATTGCTCATTGTTTTTCTGGAATTCAATGGGAAGTTTCTGAATTTTATAGAAGTGGGGACCTATCTCTCTCATATTTATCTTTACAGGCTGTAAATTACTTTTCTTTTTCCAGTTTTTGTATTGTTTGTGCTGTGACTGCAATGCATGTGTGGACAAAATCTACCTCTGCTCCTACTTCACTTTACTCTTCTCCAACAAAGGATGGAGGGGCAAAAGTTTTGTTGCTCAGCTCCTTTATCTTCTCTTTATTTACATAGAAACTTTCATGTACATCAAAAGGAGAAAGAAATAAAATGACAATTTTATATTTATAAAAATTATAACTAATTGCTGTATATTTCTTTCTTCTTCTAAAATAGCATATTACAATTATACACAAAAGTAAAATTAAAAATATCAACGAAAGTATGAAAATAACTTTGATTGAGTAAATCTTCAAATTATTCTTTTAAATGTTACAAAGTCACTACATTGGATTAACTTTTTAAGCATAAACAATATTTTTTGTTTCTCTTTATAAAAATTAAAACAACAACCCAAAAAGATAAGTTTATGAATGCACTTATTTATATTTTGATGGACAAATTCAGAAAAGTTTTAACAAATTTGCATAATGACACAGTAATCTTTGAAATTTTATTTTAACAGCTCTACCTTAAATTGATTTGCTTTTTGGGATTTTTCAAATTTGAAAGCATGCTAAGAGATGTTTGAAAGAACTTTTATGGTATGAAATTTTAAGTTTGTTTAGATTTACGACTATTGTATATCTTTTTAGTTAATTATCTAATAAATCTTATGAAAAAATATTAAAATAATTTTTAAATATAAGAATGAATAAAATCTCATGTGATAATTTTTTTTACGCAAGAGCTTAATGCTCAAATATACCCTAGTAAGTGAAAATAATTTCATTATGTTATCAAACATTAATTTACATAAAATAAAATTTATCATTTTTAAAATTACTGTGAAAGAATTTATAGTTTTTCTAAACAATAGTGAGAGGCTAAGAGGTTTGCAGAAAACAACTGTCTGAAAATAAAAACATGTTAACAGTTAACTGCTACCCCATGAAAAAAAAGAAAGAAAGAAAAACTGCTATATATATTTTTTAAAGAAAAACATGTGGAATCCTATCAACACTCTATAAAAAAATAGTATATATAAATAAGATTGGATTTTTTTTTGTGTAAAAATTCCACATTTCCTAAGAAAACAACCTTTCATTTATATCGGCATAATTAAGTACATTTTTGGTGCTGGAAACACTTGATGAACACTCGAGTTAGAGTTTATGCTGCCAATACTTGATCAGAAAGTTTGGCCAAGTTTGATTTTAGAAAAAAATATATCAATTTTTAATGTAATTTCTTTAAAATAATTATTCCATTTCAAATTCAAGTTTAATACAAATTAATTTCATAAAATTAAGTTTGTTTACACCCGGAATCCCGGATACATATTAATTATCCGTCATTTTAAAATAATTAACAGTATTTACAAATATTATTATATAGGAAATTGTACCTTTATTTAAAACAGCTATATTTATTCAAATTCAAACTTGAGATTACGATATTTATTAAAGTAGTATTCATTTTATTGAAAATATATAATATTTTATTTATTTTTTAAATAATTAAAATAATTTTAAAACTCATTAACTAATATGTTTAGTATATTCGTTACCATAACTTAAAATGTTGATAATTTACCTTTTTTAATGTATTTTATTATTAAATAAATTTTATGTAAAAATTAATAAATAAAAAAATAAATTAAATTTTTTTCGATGTTTTTTTATAATTCACATAAATTTTTTAAGCAATAAAAAATTGTTAGTAATATTTTAAAAAAAATTAATTTGACGTTTGGGATACATATGAATAAGCCCATTGGACTATGGATGTGGTTTAGAATCCATTTGATTCCTGGGCTAAGCCCTTTTATCTTTTCCTAAAGACCCACTCACCTAAAAAGTGAGAGGAAAAACTATCAACTGAAATCGTTTGTCGAAACATT